GGAGAAAGAAACAAGATTAAGCAGAGGGAGAAAGTGAATGGCGATGCAGTCCTAACACAGCCCTAAGTCTGCCCCACAGGGTGCTCTGAAGCTGAGACGACACTTCAGGGTTTATCTAAGTCTGAGAAAAGGGCAGGCTGGGCCTTTATACCTCTGTGCTAATCAATCATTGGATGTGGGCTTCCCCCAGAAGGAGGCATAAAAACCTTGTGCAAAGCAATTTTCTTTGGCTGAGGCAATCCCCTACCAAAGCTGAGAGCTGAGGGTCATCTTCAACAGTGCTGCCAGCAGCTAGGGGAATAAGTCCTTCATTCCTGAAGGAAAATCTGGGTGGAACATCCCAGGACCCATCACAGAACCTGTGGCTTGCAGTAAAGGGACTCAGTCATCTTATGAGGACTTGGTAGAGAGGAAGCTGGAGAAATATTTTCCCCAGCCTCAGTCTCCTCTGGACTTTTGATTTTCTATCAAGACCAAAGCCAGGAAGCCATAGGACTTTAATGCAGTCCAAGTAGGTTTTGAGCAGGGTGGAGAAAAATGGATCTGGAGGGGTAAATAAGATAGCCACAGACGATGAATTTGGTTTTGGGATGTTAAAGACATCTTGAGTTTGATAATATCATGATACATGCTTCTTATTGGTGGATTAAGGGAGTTTTCTGAGTCACTCTCTCACTCATTCCATTCCTTCTGATTAACCTCACTCTTCATTTTACCATTTAAGCCCTGCCTAATTCCTTCAGCTTAAACCATGTTCTGGTTCATGGATATGGCTTTCTCCCCACTAAATCTCACTCTTGCCAGGCAAGGTGGCCCATGCCTGCAACCCTGGCACTTTGGGAAGCAGAGACAAGAGGATTGCTTGAGCTCAGGGGTTCAAGACCAGCCTGGGTAACTTGGCGAGAACTTGTCTCTACAATAAGTCAAAAAATTAGCTGGGCATGGTGGCATGCCTGTGATTCTAGCTACTTGGAAGGCTGAGGCAGAAACACCACTTGAACCCAGTAGGTCAAGGATGCGGTAAGCATGATTGTGCCACTGCATGCCAGCCTGGATGACAGAGTGCGACTACCACTCAAAACAAAACAAAACAACTCCCCCCAAAACAAAAAACCAAAAATCACTCTTTCACCATAACTTCATTTAGCTTCATATATCCATCTCCTACCTGGTAATGTTCTTCATCCAACTCCTTTCCTTTTTTTTTGAGTTGGAGTCTCACTCTATCAGATTGGAGTGCAGTGGCTGCTCCCGGCCACTGCAGCCTCCACCGACTGGGCTCTGGCGATCCTTCCCCCTCAGGCTTCCAAGTAGCTGGAATTATAGGTGTCTGCTGCCACGCCCGGCTAATTTTTTGACTTATTGTAGAGATAAGGTCTCGCCAAGTTGCCCAGGTGGGTCTCGAACCCTTGGGGTCAGGCAATCCACTCACCTCGGCCTCCCAAAGCGCTGGGATTACAGGCTGAGCCACCGAGTCCGGCCTCCTTTCCTTTTTTTTGAGTTGGAGTCTCACTCTGTCACCCAGACTGGAGTGCAGTGGCCGCTCCCGGCCACCGCAGCCTCAACCTGCTGGGCTCCGGCGATCCTTCCGCCTCAGCCTTCCAAGGAACCAGAATTACAGGCATGTGCTACCACGCCCGGCTGATTTTTGGATTTATTGTAGAGATGAGGTCTCGCTGCCCAGGCGGGTCTGGAACCCGCGGGCTCAGGCAATCCACTCACCTCAGCCTCCCAAAGGCGCAGGATTACAGGCTGAGTCACCGAGCCCGGCTCTCCTTTCCTTTTTAAAAAAATTTCTTTGCACCAGCACTATGGGGACTCCTCTTCTGCAGCATTGATTTATCCTGCCTTCTTGGTTAAAACAGGAAAGAGGTAAACTTCAAGGTGCTGTGTGGAGAGATGATCTGATGGTGGGGATAATGGGTGTCGGGAGGCAGGCCCACTTTGGTGAATCTCTGTCTATGCTACAATGGTGCACTTTCTGCAGTCACTATTCAATGGCAAAATGAATTCGCAGCCTTTCCTTACATTGATTATTTCCAGCTTACCACCTAACCTCAGTGATCACCTCTTCCTTGAAGCCCTATCATTTTACCCCATATTCTCTTCCATCTCTTCTTTGGCTTCCATACATTTTTTTCTTCTTCTCTACAGACTCCTTGGTTTCCTTGACTACTTTAGATAATCCCTCCCTCCTCTCTTTTCCCCCTCAACCATGTTTTGCTCTCCTTTGCCTGATAATCTTATTATATATATTTCCCAGGAACATCTTATTTTTCCTCTCATGGCCTCAACACTATCACTTGTACATGGATGATTCTTAAATCTGAATCTTCGCCGGGCTCGGTGGCTCAGCCTGTAATCCCGCGCCTTTGGGAGGCTGAGGTGAGTAGATTGCCTGAGCCCGCGGGTTCGAAGCCCTCCTGGGCAGGGAGACCTCATCTCTACAATAAATCCAAAAATCAGCCGGGCGTGGTAGCGCATGGCTGTAATTCCAGCTCCTTGGAAGGCTGAGGCGGAAGGATCGCCGGAGGCCAGCAGGTAGAGGCTGTGGTGGCCGGGAGC